ATATTTAATATATGATACTTATACAGGATGTCCCAATCGCTTATGTGTAAATTATGTGTAAGAGTGGACTAAATTGAGTCGAAAAGTCCTCTACCATTTTGCAATTTTCGCAATAGTTAACAAGATATTAATTACTAAAAAGTGCCAAATATTGGTCTTGAATATTTTTTTACTTAAATACTATCAACTTTAAAGAAAAACTGCAAGAGACAAAAATTATTTATTTTCTTCTTATAGAACTCTAAGAATTTTTTCAGAATGTTTTATCAACTTTTTAGTACTGCATTCTCTTATTTTTACCAACATGAGAAAATATGGAAAAAAATTCTTAAAAAATTCTCAGAACTTTATGAAAAGAAAGTAAGCAACTTTTGTCTTGCTCTTTTTCAGTAAAGTTAATAATATTTGAATAAAAAATTATTAAAGATCAATATTTAACGATTTTTAGTAATTAATATCTTGTTAACTATTGCGAACATTGCAAAATGGTAGAAGACTTTCGACTCAGTCCGCTCTATCTACAAGCGATTGGCCTTGTATATTATATTTTATATAAGTAAAATAAAGAATTTTATATAATATTCTTCAATGTATAATATCTAAAATATACATATATATGTAGTTTCTTGATAATTACATAATTCATAATTTAAAATAACGTACTGAACTGTTATTACGTCGAACGAAATTACTTCATAAATACAGCATGATCTTAGATATCGAGTAATATATAAAATATATAATAATTAAAAATTAAAATGCATAATAAATAAGAGCAAAACAACTATAATAATGAGGAGAAAGGAAAAGTCTTATTAAGTTTCACTCGGAACCGACGAGAAAGGATTTTAGAATTGTATAGCGAAATAATTTCACGATAATCGACAAAAAGGCTTTCCTAAAGTATTATTCAAATTCTAATAAATAAATAAAAAAATTTGTATTTAATAAAATTATATATCTATAATCACTGATAATTATCTGTTAATAAAATTTCACTTTTTCAAAAAATTTATTGATATGCTCATTATTAATTGCAAATATCAATTAAGAAAATTTTGTTTTTTTAAACAGATTAAATGTTTTCCAATAAAAATATTCATATTTATTTTCAAAATTATCTCTAATGAGAAATAAATTCATATTATTACTATAAATAACTTTAAAAAGTTTTAATATATCATCTCACTAATAATTTGTCTAACATCAATTAATTTTAATGATTTCTTTACAATTGATTATTAAATGTTGTAATTAAGATAAGAAATGGAAGATGTAGATGTATATAGTAATATGTACATAGAAATAAAAATTAAATTACTGTCAGTATTAATATTTTTACATTAAAGTAATAATTTTACATTAAACTAATACTATAAAAAAAAAACTTCAAATATATATGTACAATGAATATTTTAAATCTTATATTTGAATTTTTTAAGACCTTCGGAATATTTTTATCAAACTTCTAAAAAAATGAAATAAATCTAAAAAAATAAGATAGACATTTTTTTATATTTTACAGAGATTTTTTATTTTATGTTTGCTTTTTCTTTCGCAAGAATTAGCGCATATACGCATATTTTCATTATTTACGTATTGTTACACATATTTCATTAATCTTTCAAAGAAGGATCAATTAATGTTTAATTTCTCAATTTAATAAATTTTGTCACATATTCTGCAACTTTTACGTTGCTTAAAGTATACGAAAAGGTAGTCGAAAACAATGATGGTCAACGTCATGGTCGCTAACCTTCTGTTCTGCTTCCGCGACTACCGCTGTCGGCGGAAATAAATTAAGCCGATTAGTTTCCCTGTTATACCTGCGAATTGCCAAGACACAGACGTAGTTCTTTTATCAATAATATCAGAACTAATTAGTACCAGACAAACTGCAAAATATTCATCGAAAGAGATTCTTTCCTAAAAGTTAAAATCCCCAAATTATAGTATATAAAAATAAATCATATAAAAATAATACAGGTTCCCATATTTTAAAATACTTTAAGTGTGAAAAATCCTTTTTTACGACAATTGGTGCATGATTGCTTCTCTCATATCAAAAACACAGAAACGTATTCTTATTCTAAAAATTACACACTATAATATCTGTTTATTTATTTAATATATAATTAGACAGAAATAATTCTTATACATCTTTTCAATTGTTCAAACCATTCATCGACATAAATTGAATCGCGCCGTGTTATCTAGCAGCGTCTTGTACCAGCTGATTAAACTCTTGTGCGATACAATTTAGACTTCAACACAATTCGTACTTACTCCTGCGAATGGTCCAAATAAGGTTGCCACCGCTCACTTCAATGTAGCATCCCACCGGTGAAGGGATGCCACCAGGATGCCCCGAAGAAATCCTTGGGACGTCCCGGAAATGTCCTTGAAAGGTCCTGCGAAAGTTCTTCGCTGAAAGGGAGTCCAGCCTCTCCGTTTCTCTCGTGGATCAAACCGATACGCCGGAGAAACACGAGAAAGAGAAACCGCGGTATCTTCACGCAGAATCGATCTTGGAACGTCCGTGATTTGGAACGGAGAAACTCACGATAGTTTCTAGGCGACAAAAATATTACGACGATCCGCGAGCATCCGGACCACGTTCTGCGAGACCGTTTTCGCGGCGGCGACTACGACGATGACAGACAAAGATGGCGAGGTTCGGGCGCAGACCACGACACGCAGCATTACATATCCAGTAAGAACGAGTTTAGAGCAAGAACGCCGAATCGACCGGCTGCCGAAAAGCGCGCGGAAACACTACACCCGAGAATTCGGACGGAACGATGCTTTGAGAAACACGATAGATTACAATACGGAATTATCACGCGATAATTCTGTTGGAGCATAAAATCGCGATTGCAGCGACCTCCACTGCACTACTGCACTCACGAACAAACGGGCTGATTCTCATGACGCGATTATTCGACCTCGCAACTTTCATGCCTTTTAAAGCTCGTTCTTTATATTTGCAAATTTGTTCTTTGTATCTATTCGTTCTTTGTATTTGTATATTATACTACTTTTGCATTCAATTTGAAACGCTGGACGTTAGAGGGGAAAAACAGATGATTGGAAAAGTACAAAAAAATACTATAATCACATGTATGTATGTCAATACATACATATATACTTTGCTTTGGATGCTCATGCATTTTTTTAAGCGCTATTTTCCATTATTTTGTTCTTCAATTGAAGCAATCAAATTTGAAAGAGCAATGTGTACAAGCATGTGTTACAATAGAGAATAAGAAAAAATCACTTTTTGTTGAATTTACACAAGAATTTACCGGATTTTTTATATAATGACGAAAATGAAATGATGAAAAAAGATAATGCGTTCTTTAAATTCAATTTTGATATTTTGTTCAAAGCTTTTAAGATTGTACACTGTTTCATCATTTTTTTTTCGCTAAAAAGTGCTTATTAACGGTTATCTTTTTTTTTATCTCAATGAGATAAATAATAATTATATAACAGTGTGATTCATCATTAATAATTTTCTAAGCGCTAGCAGAGCCAAAGTGAATGTAATAAACAACATTTATAAGCATAGATATTTGTCAAATTAATTTTTTCCACAGATATATTAAAACTATAATATATGTATATGTATAATACTATATGTATATGTATATTATAAATAGGAAAATATATATATATATATATTGCAAACAAAATATATATATATACATGTATTAAATCAATAAAAATACTACTTTTACTGTTACCTCTGATGTTTAACTTCATTTCGTTTTTAATTTAGATGCTATCTCAACTATTACGAGCAATTACGAACATAGTTAATTTAAATACATTAGGACTAATGTAGTAGAACACAAGCAATATAATTTATAATATTTATTATAAATTTATATTAAAAAAACATAGTACTGCGTGTTATTAAAGACATTAAGAAACTTTTGAATCTTTAAATCGCATCTGACATTCATCATATAAATATATACAATACGCCAAGAAAGAAATTTATATTTTAATACATTTTTTTTTAATTATACTTAAAACAGTACCACTTATCTGAAAATTCATAAAACTCTTTTAAAATCTCCTTATTAAGATCTTCAGTGAGACACGGCACGTGCCAACAGTTATCACTCTTTTGTACAATCGGTAAATAAGTAAAAGGGTCTTGGATGCGAATACCAGTTGCACTGGACTTGATGACGTACTGATGAGAAATCTGCCACTTCTTAAATTTTTGTTGTAAGTCATCATTTTGCAAGGAATGCTTCTGTTGTCGCATGAAATCTGACGAAACAAACATTGCATTCATTCCAGACACCATAGTTGCATAGAGTATATACGGATCATCGGCGGATCTAAAATTTGATGTATTTGATGTATATAAAAATTTTATTTTATGTATTACTTAAAATATTATTAACTGTTTTATAATTGTTATATACATATTATATACTTTTATTTTAAATTATCATTATATAGTAATCATATGCTGATATTAATTATATGAATATAAAAAAGTCCCATAACATCTGTGTAAATTCAATACTTACAAATTATCTACGAGGAAGACGAACGCATTTCGCTCTACGCGTTTAAATTCAAATAGCTTCCTTTGATGTTTCCGCGTCAATACGAGTACTTTTTTACCACGATTTTTGAAATGCTCTACTACACTGATTAGCTGTAATATAACCATTACATTAATATTTAATAATTAATACATTTAGTATAATAGCAAAAAATAAGAGAAAAAAATCATTTTTTACAATTAAAATTTCTACATATATGAACTTATATAATGTATCGATATATTGATAAATAACCAATACAAATATTTTGATAAAAACAATATATATTACCGTTAGTAATTTTGGTGAGGAAAAGTTCATATAAGCTAGATTAAGTCCGTCAATTATTACGTCAAAGGGTTTAGTGTTTTCAATAAATTCCTTAAACTTCAACAATTCTTTTGGATTAGTTTTATTATAGATGTCTGATCCTATAATTATTCTGTCCATCACAAATTTTACCAATTCCTGAAATTCGTCTTCACTAAGTGTTATTTTAGATAAAAAATAACCGCAATGTTTACAATTCCCCCTATAAACAGCATAAATCTTAAAATTTTATCTATGAACTCAAAATATTAATTTTATTATTAAAATTTTAATTTTATTTTTTATAAAAATACTAATCTATTTACTTTAAAATCTTAATTTTATTTAGTAAATTCTAAGCATTATTTAAAAAAAATATAACTGTATTTATATTTAGTAATTACTAATAACTTACAGAATTCTATCATTAATTATTAATTTTTTTTTACTATTATTTAAAATTATTAAGTATATTAAACTAAATCATGCTGAAATATTAAAAAAACTAACGTTTTTTTGGAGATTGTTATGCGATCTGTAGACCAACCATATTTGATAGCTGTATTAGCATATGCTCTTATAATTTGATTATATGGTATTATATTATGTTTACTCCAGAAATGAAACATTTCTTCCATTCTATTGTTGAAAAATTTTGCATCTTCCAGTTGACAATATTGTAAATGTGATAAGTATACATGTTTTTGTGGAATTAATTTGCGCAACACTATATTTGTCAGTGCTTTCCATGCAATGTCGGGTTTTCCATTTCTAAATGCTGCATTAGCTAATGCAGAATATATAGCAGTGCCTGGAGAAGAGGTAATCTTCATCATTTCTATTATATCTTGTGTTTTCTCCCATTCATTTGTCAAACATAAGCTCATTATACATTCTTCAGCTGTAACAGAATCCAAATACTGATACTTCTGCCTCAAATCATTGTATGTTTTTACAATTTCTATTTTGTCTGCATCGGTCAAGGAATTTCGTTTCAAAACATAGAGTTTAAGATATTTTCCAATCACTCCTGCATTCAAAGAATAATTATTTTCCTTCAAGAATTTGAAATATGCAATAGCGTTATTTACATGGAAATGCTTGACACACATATCTATGATTACAGAGTCTACAATGGATGGTGTAATTTTTGTATTTTCTTGAAGAATATTTTCTCGTATGCTTTTCCATTTTATAATAGATAAATCGCTTTCCATTTCCTCACATATATTTTTCGTGATTATGGCTCTTAAATCAACAATTTTCGTACTATAGCTTTGTTTTGATAAAACATGTATATTTATATTAAACTTAAAAAAATGAGACCATAATGGTTGATATAGCTTGTAAAACAGCATCATTTATTCTATACCTAAAAATTAAATTTATTCATTATTAAAATTATTTCATAATTTGTAAGAAATAAAGTTTGTTTAGTCTATTTTATTAAAAAATTTATGTCATAATAATATATATTTAAAAAATAGAGATATCATTATTATATAAAAACAAAGTAATGAAAATAATAAAAAAAATTTTAGAAGTCTAAGATACATATAAATTATAAATGTTATATTTATTATTAATAATGATTAAATCTCATTATATTATTTCAGTTTATTTAACATTCCTCATAATAAATACACTTTAATATTCAATAAATGCATCTACAAGAGATGGTGTATTTATATAATGATAAATATATTCTAATTTAAATATGATTTTACTATCCAATTAATGCATAATAATATATTAATACATTGTTCAATAATCTAATATTATTAAACAGTGTCAACAAAATTTATTTCAACACTACAAGCTCATTAAGATGTTATTATTAATCTTACCACATGCAAATTAATTAACAAGAAAAAGATTCACAGTGTAATGATAGATATAATAAATTCATACGTAAATATACAAGTCAATTTCAAAGGCTGTTCCTTTTTTTATTAAAATTTTGATAATAAGAAGAAGCACACATTTTCTAACCTCTTCATCTAAAATAATATCGGAAACACCGAAGACTAAAAACCAACATGTCTGGAAGCTCAGCAGAAATTGAAGAATGCTGACATATCAAGTAACCGGATTATCAATTGATGGTAAATGTCGAAATCTACTTTTAATAAATATATATATATATAAATTAAATTGTAAACAATTATAAAATGAGAATTTTAGATATTAAATTCGGAAGACTTATTACGCTTTTATATATAAAATAAATAATCAGATAAGTTATTTAAAAAATTTACACTTTAATTATACTTTACATAAAAATAAAATCTTAAAAATTATTTTTAAAAAATAAATTCTTTATATAGGTAATAAACAAAACTTTTTTAACAATGGATTTTAATTAGATACATCTTTATAAATTACTTAATAGAATAATTATAACAGACTTTTTTCAAACATATGCAAATTCATTGATCTGGATAAGCCTTTAATGACAAGAGCTTTCCAACAAGATACACAGATGACACAGTGAATCGTTACGTATTTACATCCTGATTGTTCATTAATGTTAAACAAAGATGAAATGATCACTGTGAACTTTCGCTTGTTGGAAAGCTCCCAATATATATAGAATTAGTTGCTACAGCACTCGGCGGGGAGAACGGTTGGAACGGCAGCGGAGATGATAGGCGATGGATACAGACATGCGCTGTTAAAGCGCAGATGTCATGCTGTCGTTTCATGTGCCGCCGATCTTCGCGTGTTTGGTTAGTTCTATTTACGCCGTTCTATTTGTATCGCTCACTAAATTCGCTCATTTGAGATTTACGCATTGTGATACGAATTGTGTTTTCAGTGAGTGCTAACTAACGGAAGATTGCCAACGGCATTGTCTTCTTTGTGAAGCTAAAATAAATAATAAGTAAGTGTTATACTCCATGCAGCTCATGATACCAGACGGTTCACAGTGTGACGTCACATGAGAATCACTAATAATTCGTATAGTAGCGCGGATTTCAAATATCCGTGTAAGTCGTTTTTA